AAAAATTTGATAAGGCACTTTAAAAACTATGATAGCCTAATTGCTAGCTTCAACCTTGATATTTGATTAAAGTTCTAGTGGTGGGAGTTAACATTAATACATGAGATTTTACAGTTTAAAATTTTTTAATTATTTCCTTTATCGACCTATGAATGGATCAATAAATTGTGGTACATGTACACCATGGAATATTATGCAGCCTTAAAGAAAGATGGAGACTTTACCTCTTACATGTTTACATGGGTGGAGCTGGAAAATATTCTTCTTAGCAAAGTATCTCAAGATGGAAGAAAAGGTATCCAATGTACTCAGTCTTACCATGAAACCAATTTATAGCTTTCTTATGAAAGCTGTAACCCCATTGTAGCCCAAGAAGAAAGAGAAAGGGGAGAGGGAGGGGAGGGAAGGGGGAAGGATGGGTGGAGGGAGAGTAGTTGGTGGGAGCACACCTACAGTGCATCTTACAAGGGTACATGTGAAATTTACAAGGTGTAGAATATAAATGTCTTAACACAGTAAGAAAATGCTGTGAAGGCTATGTTGACCAGTTTGATGAAAACATTTCAGATTGTGTGTAAAACTAGCACATTGTACCCCATGATTGCATTAATGTACACAACTATGATTTAATAAAAAAAATAAAAATTATTTCCTTTATATTATTTATACATGTGTACATTATTATTAGCAGTTATAATTTGGAAATTCCATGTGTTTTCTGTCTTTCATTTGGCTTAAACTTTCTCTTCTAACCTATTAACTTCTTGTTTGGGGGGACTTGGTTAGTGATGTATTCTTCATATTTAGCTTAACTTTCTTAATTGTATGGCCTGTTATCATCTTCTCTTGCTCAGCTTTTAACATCATGCTACAAATTCATCCATAAATATTTGAGTATCTGCTATGTGCAAGCTACTCTGCTAAGTACTATAGTAAATATTATAGTAAATGATAATATAAATTGTACATAAAAGTAATACAGTAAATATACAGTAAATGACATGGAGTAAGACTTGGTCCATGTCCTCAAAGGGTTTATAGTCTGTATTTAATATGGAAATCTCTCCACAGCCTCATATATTTCAGTTGTTCTTTTCTTTCTTTTCTATAGCTCTTATATCTCTTTTGAAGTGTGATTATCAGTATGTCAAGAATATGTGTACCATGAAAAAATTAATTTCTATTCCAAAAAAAAAAAAAGAATATGTGTACTATGATTTTAAATAGAAATTGTGTGGTTTTTTTGTTTTATTCCAGCATCTATTCTGTTGATGCACAGGATTATATAGGAGTTTTGGCTACATTAATGAGATGTTTTAGGGAAATAGAGTATAACTGCTAGTTAATTATTCTGTGTTGTAATTTAAAAATTGGAATGAGAGGCCAGGCACAGTGGCTTACACCTGTAATCCCAGCATTCTGGGAGGCCGAGGCGGGTAGATTGCCTGAACTGACAGTTTCAAGACCAGCATGAGCAAGAGTGAGACCCTGTCTCTAAAAATAGCTGGGCATTGTGGTGGGCACCTGTAGTCCCAGTTACTCAAGAGACTGATGTAAGAAAATTGCGTGAGCCCAGGAGTTTGAGGTTGCCGTGAGCTGTGACAGCACAGCACTCTACTGACAACAATAAAATAAGACTCTGTCTCAAAAAAAAAAAATTGGGATGAAAATGTATCAAAGTCCAATATATGTGAACCTTTGAGCAATGATTTATCCCAGATAATAGTTTTCCACACTGTTTACCTTTTAACGCTTAACAGGATTCCTGGCTGAGCATGGTGGCTCACACCTGTAATCCCAGCACTCTGGAGGCTGAGGCAGGAAGATCACTTGAGCTTAGGAGTTTTAGACCAACCTGAGCAGGAGTGAGACTCTATCTCTACTAAAAATAGAAAAATTAGCAAGGTATTATGGCAAGAACCTATAGTCCCGACCGAGACAAGAGGATTGCTTGAGTCCAGGAGTTTAGGTTGCTGTCAAACTACACTGAGGCCACGGCACTCTAGCCTGAGCAACAGAGCAAGACTGTCTCAAAAAAAAAAAAAAAATTATTTTCCTGCTTTTATTGAGAATCAGCATTTGTTTCAATGATGTTAATTTTTATAGACACTTTATATTGCCTATTTTTTTGTTACTTTGAAAAAATATAAAATTGTTTTTACTGGGCAGCACCTGTGGCTCAGTGAGTAGGGAGCCAGCGCCATATACCAAGGGTGCCGGGTTCAAACC